TAAAATCCCTTAGGAAGTTCACAGTTTTCACCCAGATCTTCTGTGGTGGCATGCTAGCAGGTCAAGGACAATGAGTCAATATCATTGATTCAGTTAGCATTCTAGAATGATACATGTTATATGTGTGTGTGTATATATATATATATATGTATGTATATATATATATATACACACACATACAAAGATGAATAGAAAGCATGTGTTGCTCCAGTAGTCCTAAATAGAGCTGCTATAATTGACCCAGAAAATGTAAGACAGAGGCTACCAAGAAAGAAGGTAAGAAATTAAGAGTATGGAGTTAAGGAGTTTGGAGTTTTTCAAAGCAAAAACTATATTTCTTTTTGTATGTATATGGATGAATAAAACATTAAATTATGTGTACTTCAGGAATTTGAAAGGTACTCCTTACATCACCTCTTTGACATCCTGGGTGACTTTATCAACTTTATTAATTCTTCACATTCTTCTAGTGAAATAAAGAACATTATGTATATCTTACATTCTTCTGATATATGTTGTGAGTTAATATTTATATAAAACTATTTGTTTAAAATGGTCTCTGAAAGATAAAGAGTGACAATAATGCCTGTTATTAAGGTAAAGGAAAAAAATTAAATTTGTGACCCTCAAACTTTTAATTACCTATTTCCTAATCATAATCTTGGAAGAGGTGAAAAACAGAGAGACTTCCTATCATCTCAGAAATGAAATATTTAGTTCACTGAGTTTTGTTCTCTCTGCAAATCATTGACTATATTTAATTAAAAAGAAAATGCGAAACTGCTTGATATTCTTGTCAAAACTGGTTTCCTTTCTTGCAGGCAGACGAGTTAAAACTGGCTAATATTTAATATTGTTTACCTCAATTTTATCTTTAATAAATCCAATAATCTTTAAAAGCTAAAATATAACTGTTTAAACAAATTTAGTGACAAGAAAGAACTTTGGATTAGTCTTTTCCAAGAATGAATAATGAATGATATACAGTTAAAGACGTTTAGAAATATATTTTTCAGCAGTGTAGTCCAGAAGTTTATATCAAATATCAACGAATTTTTCATAAAAATTGACTCCGTTTTTTTGAGTCAATTGGACATTGACTCAATGTCCTTCTAAAAGGGCAGATATTGGGCTAGGCAGGATTTAACTAAGAAATTAGAGGTTTAGGTTTGAAAATGTTACTGGGAAAAGTTGATTGCTTGGACTGTTGATTAGGTATGTGAAAACAAGGGTGGGTGGCCATGGGGCGAGTAGTCATAGTTAAATAAGAACTTGAATATGGAATGTAAACATAGAGTTCATTTGAAAATAGAGACAAACAGAAGTGGCAGTAAGCACCCCCAAGTTCCCAGTTAAAAATAAGAAACATACAAACAAACTCTTTTCTGCTTTAACCACAAAAAAGCAACAAAAAACAAAACCAAAAAGAAACAACAGCAACAAAAAAACCAACCTGTTCATTTAAGGCAAAGACCACAGAAACAAAAGGAGTACCTTAGTTCAGAACAAGGGAATTTGATTTTGGTTCCTACACATCAGAGGATCTGAGAGGACAGGCAAGCTTATTCACAAAGTGGAGCAAGGACAGAGTTTGAAAAGATTAATACATGAGATCTGCTTGCCATGGAAAAATTTGCACAATTTCAACGGAATGAACGAATTGGTGAAGGCTGTTCTACCGAATAAGTACTATTAAGGCAGTATTTACAGAATGTGCTCTTTCCTATATCCTAGGAAATCTGCCCCTTGCTGATAGGGCTGACTATCTAAAGGGAATTATCACTGTCTAAACAGGCGGAAACTTGGAGAGCAGTCAGCCCCAAAAGAAAGACTGACAGCTTGTAAAGAGACTTGTTAACGATGCAAATATGAACTTGCATATGCTTGAGATAAGCGTTAATTTTACAAAACAAAGAGTTCATTCTCAACATGTTTTGGAAACACAGTCTTTGAGAACTTGGTTGATGTGTCAAATGAAATGGCCTAATTGAACTAATTCCCATTTAGGGGTTTGTTTATTCTACTTATCTGAAGCCAGAGCCAACACTCCCTAAAAGTTTTGAATGGCATTTAATGCTTCCAGAAATTGCAGCTTACCTATCTGTAGATAAGCCAGTTTCCCTTTCAGCTGAATCATATTAATTAAAACTGTTCTTTAAATAAATGTAAAATGGCCCTCTTGTATAATTTAGAATACATGAATTACTCGACCTTCCCCCACAGAGGTATTCTGCTGGTAGGTAAAGAAATAAAGTTTAGTGGTTTTATTCGTTTTACATGGTATCAGTTACTCTCTCTGATTACAACATTTTTATTACAATAGGAGTAATTTTAAATTATTTAGGATCTTAATAAGCCAAGACCATTTTATCTCTGCCAATAATTATCTTATTTTTCTCAGTATAACATTTTAACAGAGCTAAAAAAATAAATCAGGACCTTTACTTTAAAGATCTTTATAAGAGAGAAGATAACGTTACAGTATACCAAGTATGTGAATTTATGACCAATGATTATATTTTAAGTGATGTCACATTAATTTAAAAAAATTATAATCCATTCTAACATACTAAGAAGTTTTTCCTAATAATCTAAACCTTTATTGATCCACAGCCATTTATAGCAGGGGTTGGCAAACTATACCCTATAGGCCAGATCCAGTCTGCTGCCTACTTTTATATGGACAGGCAGCTGAGTTTGTTTTTTACAGATAAACATTTACAGTCTACTTGATGATAGAGAATGCTTTTAACCCCAAGCAAAATGTTGACCCAAAATAAAGCATTCCATTCTTTTTACTGGTAGACCTGTATTACAAAAGAAATTAAAAATTTTTTTAACTTTATTTATTCATTTATTTAATTTTTGGCTGCACTGGGTCTTCACTGCTGCATGCAAAAAGGGTTTTCTCTAGTTGCTGAGAGTGGGGGCTACTCTTTGTTGCAGTGCGCAGGCTTCTCATTGTGGTGGCTTCTCTTGTTGCGGAGCACGGGCTCTAGGCACGCAGGCTTCAGTAGTTGTGGATCACAGGCTCTAGAGCTCAGGCTCAGTAGTTGTGGTGCACGGGCTTAGTTACTCCACAGCATGTGGGATCTTCCCGGACCAGGGCCCGAACCCATGTCCCCTGCATTGCCAGGCGAATTCTTAACCACTGCACCACCAGGGAAGCCCTAAATTCAATTATTATGCAAAAGAAATTATATTCAAGTATAATCATTACCGTTTAAACTTTGTAATAAAAAAAATTGTGGAAATTTATTTTCTCTTGTATAAATGGGCCTACACAATATCCTTGATTTTTGCCTCTTGGCATAGAAAGCCTAAAATATTTACCATCTAGCCCTTTCCAGAAAAACATGGACCCCTATGATGGAGTATTTTTTCTCATTCATTTTTATTTTTTAATTTATTTTTTATTTTTGGCTGCTTTGGGTCTTCGTTGCTGTGTGCGGGCTTTCTCTAGTTGCCGTGAGCGGTGGCTACTCTTCATTGTGTGGGCTTCTCATTGCGGTGGCTTCTCTTCTTGCAGAGCACAGGCTCTAGGCACGTGGGCTTCAGTAGTTGTGGCACACAAGCTCAGTAGTTGTGGCTCACGGGCTCTAGAGCACAGGCTCAGTAGTTGTGGCTCCCGGGCTTAGTTGTTCTGCGGCCAGTGGGATCTTCCCGGACCAGGGCTCGAACCCGTGTCCCCTGCATTGGCAGGCGGATTCTTAACCACTGCGCCACCAGGTAAGCCCCTCTCATTCATTTTTTAATCACACCTACATCAGTTCAGCAAGTAGTTTCTGAGCAACTCCCATATGACAGACACTGTTCTAGGCCCCAGGAGACACTGTAGGGAACAAGATTTTATAAAAATACTGCCTTCATGAAACTTACATTCAAATTATGTACCTCATCTCCTCAAAACTACCTTGTTTCCATTATTTCCATTCTATAGAGAGGCAAAGTGAGGTTCAGAGAATTTATGTAGCTTGTCTGGAGTCTCTCAGCCAGAACTGAACCCAGTTATATCTGACTCCAAGGCTTGAGTTTCTAACCAGTGGGCAGGTCTGGCTTCATGGGCAGGGGGCTCCATGCTTGGTTTCATGCTCTGCTGTCGCCATCTTGAAACTCTTAATCATTTTTTTGAACATGTTTTTGAACAATAAATACATTTCCATTTTGCCATTGGCCACACAAATTATGTAGCTGGTCCTGCCACTAAGGCAAACGTGCTTCTCGCTCAGACCACATTCTGCCAGGGCTACTTTTTATTTTTTTAAACACGCATGGGGGGCTTCCCTGCTGGCTCAGTGGTTGAGAGTCCGCCTGCCGATGCACGGGACACGGGTTCGTGCCCTGGTCCAGGAAGATCCCACATGCCGCGAAGCGGCTGGACCCATGAGCCATGACCGCTGAGCCTGTGCGTCCGGAGCCTGTGCTCCGCAACGGGAGAGGCCACAACAGTGAGAGGCCCGCGTACCGCAAAAAAAAACAAAACAAAACAAAACAAAAAACAAAAAAAAACACACACGCACGGGAATTCATCTATGAAGAAGCCTTGAAATCTATCAAGGTCTTTAGAAAAATAAGCTATATTAATCCACTGATTCATTTTCCAATTCACCAAAAGACTGGAAGTTCCTTGAAGACTAGGACTCTCTCCCACAATAATTTTTTTGTAGTTTCCTCTGGGCCTAAAGTTCTTTGAAATTCCATTAGTATCTGAACCTTGTCAAGGGCTCTGTCTTGGCTCTTCTTGTCTTAATTTTACTTCCATGGAAGAGCAAAATCTTTACCATCAACAGTTTCCTCTGATCTTTATGCATTTGTAAATTTTGAAAGAGATGTTAGGTATGACTTAAACAAAACGTAAGAACTAACCTGTTCTGATATAAGGAAATCCTTTGTCCGGGAGTCCATGACTGAAACATTGATGGCTTTGAAGGGTAATCCACAGGTAATCCACCTGTACTTAAAATAGGTGCTTTATCTTCTTTTCTTTCAATTTCTTACAGCCTAGTCATTGTTGGATAAGCGAGATGGTGGAACAATTGTCAGTCAGCTTGACTGATCTTCTGGACAAGTTTTCAAATATTTCTGAAGGCTTGAGTAATTACTCTATCATAGACAAACTTGTGAAAATAGTCGATGACCTTGTGGAGTGCATGGAAGAACACTCATTTGAGGTAACTTTGTATTCATTGGGATTGCTTTTTATTACTCTTCTCTAAAACCTGTGCTGATTGGTCATGGCTGGGATGGGGGCATATTTGTGAGATTTCTAATTTATAAATTTTTAATTAAAAAATTTTTAAGATGAGCACATCTCTTAGAGTTAACATCTCTTTTTATGTCAATCATATCAGTACAAATAGTGTGCTAATGGCATTGATAAGAAGTAGAGGTCACAAAAAGTAGGGTATATTAGACGAGGTATCATGAAGGAAATAACATACGCATTGGGGCATGAAAGATGAGTTAGGTGGTCAGTAAATGGCAATGTCTGGAAGAGCATTCCAAATACCAGAGAATGTCCATTTACTAATCATAGAGTAGTACATAGTAAGTGCTACAGAGGTGTTAACTCTTATTATTACCTGCTTTTATTTATAATCATGTATTTATGAATTCCTAAAATAGAGCTTTGCCTTGTTTGGAGGATTTTATAGAAAATCATACTCTTTTTATTCTTTTGAGACTTTCTTCTTTCACTCTGCGTTATGTTTATAAGATATATCCACATAAAGCTGTAGTTTTTTTTTGACTTTTTTTTTGTTTTTTACTGTTTATAGAGCATTCCATTGATTCAATACACCACTGTTTATTAAACCACTCTCCTGTTTATTGGTGTAAGGGTTTATAAACACTGCTGGGAATAACTTTCTTATATGCCTCTTGGTGCAGTTGTGCAAGAGCTTCCTCAGAGTATTTACCTAGAAGTGGAATTTCTGGGACACAGGATGGGTGCATGTCCAACTTTACTAGATAATATCAAATGTGCCAATATCAAATGTGCCAGTGACTTATAAGAGACCCCTCTGCTCCATGTCCTTGCCAGTACTTATTATCGTCAGACTTTTAAATTATTGACTATTTGGAGCATGTATTAATGGAGGGGTATTTTTTTTTAATGAGGAGTAATAATTTTAATGAGCATCTCTAAAGAACAGTGTCTGTAATTTGTTGTTAGGATTATTTCATTGTTATGATGTTGTATTCACCTTTCTCACCCTCACCACCACCCTCTTCCTTTTATCCGGAGTTGAGCCCCAGACTGAACTGGATGGGATCATTTACCCTGCAGTACCAATTTGAATTATATGTGTTAAAACAGTTGTCTAAAAGTGTCCGTTTCACTTGAATCTTTCAAGGACACATTTATAGTCTATTACCTTGACATCAGTTAAATCTATAGACTATTTGAAAAATATAATCCTATTTTTTTTCTTCTTCTAGAATGTAAAAAAATCATCTAAGAGCCCAGAACCTAGGCTGTTTACTCCTGAAAAATTCTTTGGAATTTTTAATAAATCCATCGATGCCTTCAAGGACTTGAAGATGGTGGCTTCTAAAACTAGTGAATGTGTGATGTCTTCAACATCAAGTCCTGAAAAAGGTAAGACATATAAGCATTTCTAATACAAGTATAAAAAGCAAGTTTGAATCTTATATGTATAGGTAAGAATCTACCTTTGACTCAAATATATGTGTAGCTAGGGAAAGAGGTGTGTATGTCTAATATAAAAGCAAATATCAGTGGCATGAAAGAAACAAACAGTTGTAGATTTGTTGGTGTTCAAGCCAAAACAACACTTATTGTGCATGAGTAAACAATATATGAGATAGTCATATTTTTATCTGATATTTGCTAGTAATGTACAATTATATTATTCTTCACCTCCAGTCTTCTTAATGTCCCCTTCTCAAATCTGAATAATCTAGATTGGGAAGCAGACCTGGAAAGTACTCTGATATTGCACTTCACCTTTTGAGGACTCTGTAATTTATGTAAATCACCATGCAACACTGACACATTATTGCTTTCTATTTAGATTCCAGAGTCAGTGTCACAAAACCATTTATGTTACCCCCTGTTGCAGCCAGTTCCCTTAGGAATGACAGCAGTAGCAGTAATAGTAAGTACATGTATCTGATTTAATGCATGCATGGCTCCAATTAGCATCTGTAGGAGTATTGCATGGGCTTTAGAGGAAATTTTTACAATCATTACTATTAACGCTGTTCTGTTGCTATTTTTCCTGTTATGATCTTCCTGAGAATTAAATATTAGGTTTGTACAATTGGATTTCCCTATAGCTAGAGATAATGTTTAATCGGGGCAATAAATTTTCTGCTAAGATTATTTTAAATAAGGCATAAAATTACTTTTAGATGTATGATTTATGAACTTTTTTCATTGTTGACTTAAAATATATTTCGTGTGGAATTTGCCTGACAAAAATGGACTTTTAGGGCTTCCCTGGTGGCGCAGTGGTTGGGAGTCTGCCTGCCGATGCGGGGGACGCGGGTTCGTGCCCCGGTCCGGGAAGAAGCACAACAGTGAGAGGCCCGCATACCGGAAAAAAAAAAAAAAAAAAAAAAAAAAAATGGACTTTTAAAATGGAAAATACAAGTGCTGGTTTTATAAAATTCCAAGGATATTTTCTGTTTTGTTGTGTATATCACTATTTACTATTGTGTGTTTGGAAATTTGATGATTTTTGTTATTTTACTATAAAATTACATGTTAGGGGAGAATATTCTTTCTCTGAGATTTCTGTCCTCGGTGGTGAAGAAGAGCCCAGTTACCTGGAAGTCTAATGTCTTTTTTTCAAATGGAGGCAAAGGTCACTATAAAGGTCATTGGATATACTAAGTATCCTGATCCTCTAGCCTCATGGCAACTGTAGGGGGGAAAAATTCATCCTTTGATCTTAGCTAAGAAAGTCATCCCTTAAGACTTAGTAATGGGGCACTCTCATATGTTCAAGGACATCAAAGACCTATCTGTAAAAAGGAGTAATCAATTTAATACAAATCCACAATAGCAATGCTACAATTCAGAAATTAAAAGAAAAAGCTCTAAAATCCAATTTGTTTTGGATTTTTTGCCAACAAAACCTGACCTGAATTGTGATGAGCCTATTTATAATATTTATCTTTCTAAAGGTGAATATCTATGCATTTCACTAGGAAATATTAATGTGTTTGATTATAGGGTACTACCCAGACCTCATTGAAAATATTATATAATATACAATATTTACAGGACCAAACCTTCTAAGATCTAAAATTCTGAATCACATAACACATTGGATCTGAAAAGTTTTGAAGAGACACTTTGTATGTTAGTCAGTTAAGGTCTTTCCTACTAACTATGAATTTTATTAATCTTTCCAAAGAAGAAATTTTGTCTTCTTAAATTCTGTTTGTATTTCATTGATTTCTAATCTTATCTTTATTATTTCCCTACTTCTACTTTGGGTTTAATTTGCTCAATTTGTTCTAACTTCTTAAGTTCTTAAGGTAGAAAAAGTAGATCATTGACTCTAAACCATTCTTCTTTTGTAATATAAGCACATATATAAATTTCATTAAAAGCAGCTTTAGCTATATTCTACACATTCTGATATGTTGTGTTTCCATTATCATACCTTTAAAATACTTCTTTTAATTCTCCTTGTGATTTCTTCTTTGATTCATGGGTAATATAAAAGTGGGTTGTTGTCTAAAAATATGTGTTTTTTCTAGATATCTTATTATTAACTCCACTATTGTCAGAGAACATACACTGTAATCTTTTGAAATTTATTGAGACATTTTATGAGTATTATTCAAGTTTTGGGTGTAGCATTCTCAGATTTAATCCAAGTAGTTGATAGTGTTGTTTAGATCTTCTATATCCTTATTAAGTTTTTTGTCTAATTTTTTATTACCTACTGAGAGTGGGACATTAAAAATCTTTCCTTTTGGTTGTGGATTTGGTTATTTCTCCTTTTGGTTCTGAGTTTTTTGCTTCGTCTGTTTTGCAGGTCTACTATTAGGTGCTTATACATTTATTATTGTTCTGTCTTCCCTGATTAAGTGACCTTCATATCTTACTGCAATATCCCATATTAACTCTGGTAGAGCTCTTGTCTTGAAGTGGATTTTGTCTGACATTAGTAGAGCCAGCCTTTCTTCTGCTTACTGTTTTCATGTATATCATTTTTCTTCCTTTCATTTTCAACATATTGTCTTTATGTTAAAAGTACATGTCGTGTAGACAGGAGTCAAGTTGCTATTTTATCTAGTACTTTACTTTTAATTACAGTGTTTCATCTGTTTGTATTTAGTACAGTTATTGGTATGGTTGGATGTGGGTCTGCCATTTTGTTATTGGCCCCATTTGTTTATTGATACTCTGTTCCTCCTTTACAGACCTCTTTTGTGTTGTTGTTGTTTTTTTTCAGTGTTCTATTTTAATTACTCTGTTGGCTTTTCAACAGCACCTCTTGACGTCATTTTGTGGTTGCTTTAGGAATTACCACATACACCTTCACCTGTAACATTCTACTTAGAGTTAATGTTGTAGCACATCCAGAAACAATATAAGAACCTTGAAGCAGGATAGTTCCACTTGCCCACAACCATCTTTTGTGCTGTGTTGACATATATCTACATAGGTTATAAGCCCCACAATGCAGTCTTAAAATTATTATTTTAAACCATCATATGTCTTTTAAAGAAAGTAAGAGAAGGGAAAAAGAATCTTTTATATTTACCCACATATTTATTATTTCTTGTTACTCCTCATTCCCTCTTGTAAATCCAAATTTCTGTCTAGTGTTAATTCCTTTCTGGCTGAAGAGCTTCCTTTAGCATTTCTTGTAGTGCAGATCTGTTGCCACCAAAACAATTTTTTTTTCTTTTAATTGAAAAATGTCTTTGTCTTCAGTATTGCAGGTAGTTTTTACTAGACATGGAATTCTGGGTTAAAAGAATTTTTTTTCTGAGTCCTTTAAAGATGTCACTCCATTGTCTTCTTGCTTCTGTTGTTTCTGACAAAAAGGCAGGCAGCATTTGTATGATGTTTTCCCTTGTATGTACTGGATCATTTTTCCCCTCTGCCTTTCAAAATTTTCCTCTGTTTAGGAGGTTAAAAGAGATGCACCTCGGAGTGGTTTTCTTGTTGTTTGTCAAGCTTCTTGGATACGTAAGCTTATTTTCCTCAAATTTGGGGGAAATTTGGCCATAATTTTTCCAAACATTTTTTTCTTCATTCTCAGCTCCTTTTGAGAGGAATCACACACATGTAGAATCACACATGTACCAATCCCATATATGTTAGGCAATTTGATAATATCAGTCTCACAGATCATGGAGGTTTTGTTCAGTTTGTTTTTTTTTCCAACCTCTCTTCTCTCTAGTCTTCAAAGTGAATAATTTCTACCTATCTGTTTTCAAGTTCCCCGGCTTTTCTGACATCTCTAATCTAAATTTTTCTTCCAGTAAATTTTCATTTTGCCATTAAATTTTTTTTAATTAAGACTTTATTGTTTTAGAGCAGTTTAAGGTTCACAGCAAAATTGAGGGGAAGGTGCAGAGATTTTCTTACATACCCCCTACCACCACATACCCATAGCCTCCCCCATTATCAACATCCTCCACTAGAGTGGTCCAGTTGTTACAGTCGATGAATCTACATGGACACATCATAATCACCCACAGTCCATAGTTTACATAGGGTTCACTCTTGGTGGTATACAGTCTGCAGGTTTGATTCCAGTGTATCTTTTCATTTCTAAGTTTGTACTTTGTATTCTAGAATTTCCATTCGATTCTTTTTATATTTTACATTTTTCTGCTGAGATTTTTCATCTGCATATTCATTATAACAATATTTTGTTTTTTGGCCCTTGGATATAGTTATAACAGCTGCTCTAAAGTTCTTGTCTCCTAATTTCAACATGCAGGTCATCCCAGCTTGGTTTCTATTAACTGATTTTTTTCTCCCTGATTATGGGTCACATTTCTCTTTAGATGGCTAGTAATTTTTGAACATATGTTGGATATTATGTTGTTGAATATCTGGATTTTGTAGCATTCCTTCAGAGACTTTTGAGTTTTTTACTGGTAGGCAGTTCAATTCCTAGCAGATCAGCTTTATTTTCCTTCCCAGTCATGTTTTTTAAGCTTTCTTAGAGGGAGGCGAGAGAGTAGCTTTATTTCTAAGGCATAGAGTTTCTGAGATGTTTCTTGAGTACCTGGAAAATCTCTCCATTCTTGCTTGTCAGAACTCCTTCATCTCTGAATTGACTGCTAGGGTCTCTGTTAAAGTCATAGCTTCCCGGGCATTGTTTATTGCCAGGTTTTGTGAAGTCTTTCCCTGTGCCTGTACAGCTTATTAGTCAACCAATGACTTAAGGAGACTCCTCCAGAGACTTCTACCGCTCCTGTTCTGCACAGCTCCTTTCCCACAAATAACCCTGCCTCGTAAACTCCAGCTAGGGCAGCAACCCTGAACTTCATTCTCTGATTCCCTACCTCAGTGAGACTACTAAGTCTGAAGGTGCCTCCCAGCCAGAAAATCAGGACAGTCGTGAGCCTTACCACATGTGTTTTTTCCTCTCTCGGGGATTACACTCTTGGGCTGCCTCTTGGCTGATGTCTGAAAATAGCTGCCTCGTATAATTTGTTTAGTATAATAATTATTTAAGTTGGGAAGGCTAATCTGCTATAATCATGGTTGGAAGAAAAAGTCTTTTCTACTTACTTTAAAAGACAAACTGAATATAAAACACCTATTTGGTCCTGTACCTCTGAGTTTATAGGTACTTTTTAAATTGCAACATGAATGACCAGTCTTCTTTTTTCTTTTCCTTTCTTTTTTCTTCCTTTTTGTAAAAAATATGGGTCTTGCATAATCAGCTTTTGGCCAGGTGTTGTCACTCATGAATGAATATGGCACTTAGGTACCCATGCACAAGACTAGCTCTTATGTAGTGTACATTCTCGTAGGAGAAACAGACACAAATAAAAATAGTCATAGTATTTTATAATATATATTATTTATATTATAATATAATATGTATAATAGAAGTATGTAAAAGCTTTTAGTTGTAGCATAAAGGAGGTAAGACTTTTTCGGGAGTAGGGTCAGGGAAATTTGAAGAAAGCATGCTGGTTTTCAGGGATAAGACAGACCCCAAATGTGGCCAGGCTGGCCAGAGGACCAGTGCATATGAAGGAGGAATCCAGAGGTGTAATGCCCTCTCTGTAGCTTATAAGGGAAAATCATGGGATAATGTAAAAGTGTATAAGTTATCCAAAGGGAACTGTGTTTTCAAAGTTACAGTAATATCCTTAGTACCAAGCTAAAAGGATGTTTTTAAAATGATTGAGATTCTTACAGATAGTATATTTAAATAATAGGGAAGAAAATCCTTACTTTGGCATTAACTTACTCATCTTCCAGACAGTCTTGAGTCAGACTGCCTGGGTTTATATCCCAGCTCTAGACCTTGGCTAGCTATGTGACCTTGGGCAACTGTCTTAATCTCTGGAATCCTCAATCAAATGGAGGTTGATAATCTCTCCTTCACAGCTTTTCTGTGAGTTTTTGTTTTTGTTTTTGTTTTTTTGCGGCACGCGGGCCTCTCACTGCTGTGGCCTCTCCCGTTGTGGAGCACAGCCTCTGGACGTGCAGGCTCAGCGGCCATGGCTCACGGGCCCAGCCGCTCCGTGGCACGTGGGATCCTCCCGGACCGGGGTACGAACCCGTGTCCCCTGCATCGGCAGGCGGACTCTCAACCACTGCGCCACCAGGGAAGCCCTTCTGTGAGTTTTAAATGAGTTAGCACATGTATACTTGGAGCTGTGCTTGATGTATAGTACATGTTCATCATTAATTATTAGAACAATGAGATCTAGCACCGAGGCTGGGTCAGTGGTGAGCTTTGAAGTGCCAGCAAGCCTGCGGTGAGCTTTGAACCTGAATCAAGGGAGAATACTGAGTTGCATACTTTTTAAGGACCAAGGAGAGAGCCATGTTCATAGGCATGGTCCCCATAAGCAGACTTACTCTACAAAGGAGTTCAGCAAAATTGTTGCACAGTTTTTTGTGTTCTGCGTTTGTAGAGATGTCTGATGTTATTCGTCAAACCACACAAATCAGTTCCCATAAATTTTGAACTGTGGACAGCTTTCATAATAATGAGATACAATTAACATGAAAACAACCCAGGAATTTGGGATTACTCAAATCCTGTCCAGATGAGCTCCACCACCCCATACACTTTCTGGGGCGATCTTTTCATAAAAGAAAAGCTTTGGCCCTAATACCCTTCATATGGGCCTTGAGGCACATAATCCAGATCTCATTGATCCCTGGCTGATAGCAGCAGTAGTAAGTATTGGGAGTCATGCCCTGGAGGCGTAAGCAAGCCTTTTCTGATAACATGAATTTTTCTCTCCCTGGAAGAGGAATGGCAGGATCACTGAAGAGAACCCAAGGCCTGGCTGTGAAGCCATTTGCTTTAACAAGAGAAATAAGCAAAGTGAGGTGACACCTCTGTGGGAGGGAGGTTCAGTTCCTGTGGGTCTGACCCCCTCCCTTCTCTCTCCCGCCGGAGGACTGCTGCTGCGTGTTAGTCAGATTCCAGAACTTTGTTCAGGGCCATAGTCCTAGGGGTGGAAGTTTAAAGTGGTTAAAAAGTCACAGTGCTCTGGTAGAGGATGGTGAGCTTTCTTTAGCCTCTAAAGAAACACCTCCCTCAGGGGCTGTCCTCCTACCTGAGAAAGATTTTGAGTGGGGAGTCCCAGAACACCTCACTCTGTAGTAAGCTCCTTTTGCTTATTGCTGGTGGGTGTGGTCTTTCCTCTGGTCTGATCGATGCAGTTCAAGATTTGGCTTTTGGATAGAATAAGAAGAGCAGGGTTTTAGCTGCCTTGATTCTGGGGCATCTGGCTGCCCAAACATAGGTAATGGAGTTCTCCATAGCACCATCTTAGCTCATTAGTTTTCCATTGGAGCTGGGGACAAAATATTAATAGCTTTCTTTGTTCTCTCTGTATATGTCTATGTATGTCACCTGGCCAAATCACAATCACATGCCAGCAATCCCAATAGACAGTGTGGGCCATCGTGGGTTGGCCATCAAGGAGAATTCAAACATGTCACTGGAATATAAACACAAACAGCCAAATTATTTACAGATAACGATATAAGCATTTCTAAAACGGTCGGAATTACGTGTTAACTCCAAATCCATTTCCTCGTAGAAAACACCTTTATAAATGGTAGTAAAATCCCTGACAAGTACACATAATCTTATATAACCCTTAAAATAGCTATATTATTGGAATAACAGTATTACTTCAGTTATACCAAATCCCATTTTATAACTAAGGCGTAATTTGGTGATAGAATTCATGTTGAGCTTTAATTTAAGATGCCTAAAACATATTTCCCATGGGGTTATAGGATGTGAGGTGGGCCAAAAGAGCTGTCAGTCTAGTCTTAAGGAAGTGATTCATGGTTATGTAAATGGAAGATTCCACTTCACCCAATGTCCCTTAGTATAAGGGACACCCATGACTCACTACATCTCCCCCCCCCCCATTTCCTACCCCAGCACACACACACAGACTTACTGTTTTGAGAGCCTCTTTGGAAACATAAGAATCATAGAATTAATGAATTTCCTGTACCAGGTTTACCAGTGGTAGGCAAATGGGCAATTTCTGTTCTCACTATAATAGATACCATTTGTTTCTTGCCTCTTCGGTTAAATCTATGAGTTTATTTTTCCATCTTAAATGCTGATACACATACAGTGGTTTGGTTCTTTTATATTATGTACTTTAGGTATTTTATATGTTAAATAGGTGACTATAGGCTGACACAGTACCCAAGTATCATTGCAAAATATCATAGCCCAAAACAGTCACTTTCCCTTGGATTGGTTTACATTTTGATCATACGATTGTTGAAAGTGTACAATTTCTAACTGTATTACATCTTCAAAAGAAAACTGAAAGTTTAACTCTCACAAGTTGACACATATGTGTCAATGTTTTCAAACAATTAAGCTGTTCCTTGTAAGGAGATAGACAGAAAAATCTGTCAAAATGTTAAGTTTTGTGTTGGGAACAAGAGACGCCTGGGGGAGATGTGTTGTTTAATTCCTGAATCATTCTGCTTCTCATGGAAGAGCAAAGCAGGGTGAAGGGAGGTGTCCCAAGTTAAACTCATGTGTGTGTCTTCTCTCTCACTAAATTACATATTTAGAGTCAGCTTAAGGAGACACTGGTACTTCCAGCCATTCTTTCATGTTCAGTAGTCTCAGGCTTTTGAACACAGAAAGTCTGAAAATTCAAACCTTTACTCCATGGTACAGTTCGGGGCCCTACCTGGCATCCAATAAATGTCAGCTGAGGATGTGATGAGGAGACACCATAATTCTAAACTTGAGGTCCCTAAAAGTACTCTAACCACAATGTACAGGTATTAACTTAATATTTGAGGCAGGCCGAACATAGCTTGATGCATGCATCCAGACCTTGATCCGGATTGCAAAATGTCTTCTTTAAAATTTCTTGGCAAGATGTGAAGTGTGAGAAAGTGAGAAGATATTAGAAGATAAAGGCATGGAAGATGGATTTGCTTGATGATATAAATCATTTGCAGGTATATGTCATCTGTGTTCCATATGGGTCCGCATTAACCAAGTCAAATAGCCCTCTGCCTGTGGGGTTTCTTTCTTTTTTCAACTTGTATCTTTTGGAGACTACATGGACTTGCATTGCAAGCAGGAAAATCAGCGTTTTAAATATTTTAAACAGATAGGTCAAGAGTACATTTCGGAAACAGTTGGGAACAACCACAGGATAAGAGCAAAACCTCTGGCATGGAGATACTGTGTTCACCATTGTACTGTTTAAATTACAGGGAAGGCCTCAAATCCCATTGAAGACTCCAACCTACAATGGGCAGCCGTAGCATTGCCAGCATTCTTTTCTCTTATAATTGGGTTTGCTGTTGGAGCCTTATACTGGAAGGTAAGTGTTGCTATTCTTTTTTTCTTTCCCCTTGATCACAAAATTTCTGAACTTTATATATTTATTTGTTCATACTATATTACATCAATGATTAGCTAACAAACTGCCCTTTTCTAAGAAAGGATCCTACCAAGAAAACAATATTTTTAATTTGCTTACTATTTAAATCTTTCAGTTTCTTTATTATTCTTTCATCTCCAACATCCTAAAAATGCTGAGTTGATAAAAACCGTGCATTTTTCATGATTTCTTATTGCAAAAGTATTTTTATATGCTGCATGCTGATGAACACAGAAGTGGAGACTGTTTATCTCTTAAATAGTACGTGATATATTGATATTTTTACAATATATGTATATATCACTGTTCTTTTCCCAGAAGAAACAACCAAATCTTACAAGGGCAGTTGAAAATATACAGATTAATGAAGAGGATAATGAGATAAGGTATTTTGTTTTACTAAATGTGTGCATAAGTAAGCTTGACCTTGCCACTTCACATACCGTGCATGTGCTCATAACCTCTTTAAGAAGTGTTTCACTCTCATGATGGCAGCTCCCAACTGATGTCTTCCAAGTTTTATCCACATTTCTGATCTCTCATTGTCTCTTCAATCCTACATCTCCATTTACTTGGGAAATACCTTCATATAGTTGTCTTCATAACCCTTCTTATGGTATCATCTCTGCTCTCTTTATTTCTATAAACAGCAGAATCTTGCTCACGTTCCTGGTCATGGAGCTCAGGAGGCATGTTTGCTTATTCTCCTCTTTTCCACACTATAGCCAAGACATGCTTAGCTCTTTCTTTGGCAATAGTCATTATCTTCATCCATATCTTTATTATGTCTTGACTGAGTTGCTACCACAGAATCTTTCTTTTCCTCGGCCTTTCTAAACTCCACCTTTGTCTCATTCTCCTGTAAACCCCATTTCTTTTTTTTTTTTTTTTTTTTTTTCCGATTCGTGGGCCTCTCACTGCTGTGGCCTCTCCCGTTGCGGAGCACAGGCTCCGGACACACAGGCTTAGCGGCCATGGCTCACAGGCCCAGCCACCCCGCGGCATGTGGGATCTTCCCGGACCAGGGCACGAACCCGTGTTCCCTGCATCGGCAGGCGGACTCTCAACCACTGCGCCACCAGGGAAGCCCTAAACCCCGTTCTTAATATCACTTCCTTGTCAAGATACTTTCAGTTATTTTTCTCTTGCATACTTCATATATTTGACCTCACTCTGGCTTTCAGAGCCCTTAATTTTTCTCAACCTACTCAGTATTTTATTCAAAGCCAAATACAAAAATTGTTTTGTGAGACCTTGCCACTTATGGTGGCTGACGCTGATCACTTTTTTACCCTATCCCATACTGCTCCAGGACCAATGCTTTGATTTTACATTCAGTTATAGTTTTCATTTGGCATGTTATTTTCTCTTACGCTGCATGTGTACATATTCACAAATTAAGTGCATATAAGCATTTTCCGTATGTGCATATGCGTAGAGAATTTTTTAACTACTTGGGGAGACTATGTGGAAGCAGATGAAGTCTTCCCTCTTCCCTACAGTAATATTATGAAGGTAAGCTTCCCACTCAATTTTGCTATCTTTTGCTACTGTATTTACAGAAAAATAAAAACTGCCCTTTACAATGCCCAGATCATGGTTACTTCAGAATCTCTGTCTAAATGCAAATAAGCATGTTTCTTATTCTTTTTCAGTATGTTGCAAGAAAAAGAGAGAGAGTTTCAAGAAGTGTAATTGTGGCTTGTATCAACACTGTTACTTCGTACATTGGTAAGTATTAAGAATTCAAGCTAAAAGATATAACAAGAACTATACAGCATCCTAGACACCAAAATTTATTAAGTCTTCTATCAAGCTGGGGTCAGTAATGTTAGCTGAAGCTGTTATGTAATTGAATTGTACATTCTCAAGTTTTGAAAGGCAAGCAGTATTATTCCAGTTTAGTGGATTCATCTTGTATGGGAGATATACAAAGCATTAACAGTTGAGCGTTTCCTAATTTTTTTCTTTTTTGGCTGTGCCACTGGGACTTGGGGGATCTTAGTTCCCCAAACAGGGGTTGAACCCGTGCCTTCAGTGAAAGCATGGTGTCCTAACCACTGGGCAACCAGGGAATTTCTGAGTGTTTCCTATTTTTGAGGCCAGAAAATAAATTAGACAAGGGGCAAAATAAAATATTTTGGACTAAATTGGACTAAAATAAAATATTATTAATAGAAGAAGAATAAATAAAATCAACTTCAATTAGGTGTGATTAACATGATAGGAAAAGTATCTCATTTTTTAAATGCTGAAACAAGCGAAAATCAAAAACATTGCCCTGCTATTTTAAGGAAAAGTAGAAAAGGTCAAAATTCCATACAGTAAAAAAAAAAAAAAAAATCCCATACAGTAGGAGAGGGAAATTGTCAAGGTAAAGTGCCACCTGCCACATGACATAATACTTGTGCCTCATCACAGTCCAGAGCCCAGGACACACTGAATATAAACCGGGGACTGATAACCTGTTGTGATTGTGTGGGTCTGTGAAGGGCCTGGGGAGAAGGGAGACTAGGAAAACATGACCAGAGGGCGCTGATGTTTATACCTCCTCTCCCCTCTCCTGTCTACTTTCTCAACTCCCAAGCTGCAGACGCGGTGCAGGGAGCACCCTGAATGGCACTAACCTGATCCAACGTCATGCATGCTCTTCCCATTTGTACTTCTGCCAACTCACTGTTAATTCTGTTCTGCTCATGAACCCCCATTTATTACAGTGGTGTATAAGTGTTCTTTCATCTTCCTAAATCTTCAGTTCTTCCCCTGCACTCCCTCGTGGTTAGAGGATCATTTACTCGCCCGATTATTATAGACATGGTCTCTGGTGAGCTTCACCTTTTCCTTACAGGTCACTGTCCTTCCAGCTTTCCCTTCTGTCCCAGATTCAGAGATTTCTCTCTAGATTGAACCTTCCCCAGGGAAACTGGGTCACAGAGCCTTTGTCTCCTCCAGGAACTCACTTTTATCAAACATCATTTTTCAACAACCCAAAATAACATCATATAATAATAGTAATTATGTCGCATATGCCTCTAACACTTTAACCCTGCTATTACACAGACTTCATTTTTGCCTTGAATCATGCCCTTGATCACCACGTCTGGAGCACGAATAGCACCCTCTCTTCTGCTCCCGTCCTAGCTCACCTCTAGCCCCATGTTTCCTGTCAAACACTGTAAAGGAATAAACCCTTCACTTGACCCATTTTATTTTCGGGTGCAGTATTCCCCAAGCTGAAATCGTTGTTATTCCAAGAAACATTTCTTTGACCTCCAATCCCAGTACAAACCTACTGTTTTTTCCCCATCTGCTGTTTCACTTCCCTTAAGCCAGACATCCACCAACTACACATTAAATGGTTAATTGAACCTTAAAGGCTCAAGTAATGTTCTCTGTGGTTTGCTTTTCGATGGCATCACTGGGATCCTGTTTCGGCACGTAGGTGATGTGGTGTTTAATTGTGGCATTTGTCCTGTGACATTTGGGAAATGGATTATGATGGAAAAGCCCAGGGCACTTGTCTAGGAGAAAGAAAGATGGCATTTTAAAGCAGCTGTAGTCAAGCAACTTACACATGCTGGTCAGGGAATATACAAGGACAGGAAGTGAGTCTGTCTGGTTCTTGCTATATCTCCTCACAAGTACCTCACTTGTTGCCTAAGCAATGTAGGCGCTCAATAAATGTCTGTTGAAGTGACTGAGTGAATAAATAAACCCTAAATGAAAATCTTACCAAGTGGTAAGGAAGATAGCTCTGCTGAAGTGGCCTTTTTTTTAAGGTTCTTTTTGTTTTGCGAGACGAATATGTTCTAGAGACCTGCTATACAACATAATGCTTAGAGTTAAAAAAACTACATTGTGTATTTAAAACTGTGTTCAGAGGGTAGATCTTGTGTTAAGTGTTCTTACTGCAATAAAATAAGATGTTTTAAAACAATCTTTTAAAAAGTGCAGTAAGGTTTATTTTTATCTTGTATGTGTATGTGTGTGTTTAATTTGCTGATTTTGGTCAGTAGGACAGCAAAGTATGTACAGCAAGGGGGAGTACAGTCATATGGGAAATGGCTAAATTATTTTTCTTAAAATCTGAAATGTTACTCATATAATTAAACGAATGAAATTAGACAGGTTAAAGAAGCCCCAAATTGTTTAGAAATAAACTCATCACATATCATTGAGGAGCTGGTGTAAAATAGATGACCTTACTTCTCACCATCTCTGCAAAGCTCTCTCAAGGCTCAGCTCAGAACCACCACCTCCAAAAAGCTAACTTCCCAAATGAAAGTAATCTCTCTTTTATGGCCCTCTAATTATATTTTGTATTACATTTCATACAATATTAATATGGTATTAGTTACCATTACTTACATAGGCGTTACTTACTCACAGCCACTTACATAGATGTTTTGTGTCCTCTTCTAAACCATAAGTTCTTAGAGGACAGGATTGGTTTCTGAATTTCATTTTGGAATCCCATTAAACTATATAGTTTACACTTTGCACATGCAAGGATGAATGTATCTGTTGAATAAATGAATGGAGAGATGGATGAATACCTCGGAGAACTGCAGTAACGTGAGAATAAAATTTATGGAGTAAAAACAAAAATAGACGTGTGTAGGTAGAAGTAAATAAGAATTCAAATACTGAGGGCAAGATAGATAAAAGGAAGAAAAGAGAAGCAGCTCATTATCATGAACCTGCAAACCCCGAAGTCAAAATATATATGTATCATTTGTAACCATTTATTGAGTACCCATCGTATAGAGAAAGCCTGTTCCTTGTACCAACAGAGGTTTGGTAAAACCTGCCAAGGAAATTTGAGTATAATTTGGGGAAAGGGATGTGGTGGAGGGAAAGGCTTGGGAGAACAGACTATGACATGGTAGGAGAGGAAATATGCCAAGAAATAAGAAGAACAGTAGTAAAAAGTACCAAGATAGAAATGAAATATGGAGCTGTAATTATATATTTTAAAAATTGGATATAATTTGGATTATAGTCATTTTCTTGCTTCACAAAAAAAGGGGAAAATATAAGGAATGACTCAGGTTTGCGGCAAGGATTTCTCCCTGAAATAGAAGTTTCATGAACTAAAACAAATTAAACCAGGACAAATATTGGAACACTAGAATAGAAAACATATGGAATAGTTCTCCAACCTATAATTGGAAAATGAAGAGGAGGACTTGATATTTTAAATACAAGGAAGGAATGTAGATAATGACCCAGAAACAAAAGAAGTTGCCTCTAAGAGAAAATATACAAAAGCTGTGTTTATTCGACATCAAACGTGAAATTATCTCTGCAAAAAGTTAAAAATGTATTTAGTCAACTAGCTAATGACAAGTATACGTATGTGGCATCCCAGAAGAATTTTTCATTTATTGGGTTGCGTGTAGCACAGTTTAAGAGAAAGAAATAGAGTAGATCATAGCACAATTTTACTCTTCATTCTAACCACAAATGTGACACCAACAAGCTCTAGTACGTGCATTGTTGGATGCAAAGCTTAATATAACCTAGTTCTGTCCTCAAATTGCTTATGGCCTACAAAAGGAGATAAGACATATGCATAATAACCTATTTTAAAACAGACTAAAGGAGATTTTGGTTAAAAAACAACAAAAGAAGCTGACAAAGAAATGCAATAAGGAGTCAAAGGCAAAGCCACTGCATATGGTTGTAGAGGATGTGCCCTGAACATAGCTCTAGATAATGACTGGTACAGATGGCATCCCATAGAATTGTACCACCCATATACAATTGTCTTATTTAACAGGAGAGAGAAATCATTCGGAGAAAGGCTTTATTGTAAGGGTGATGGGGGTGGCATTTGTATGAAACTGGATCTTGGATGATTGCTAAAATTTTACTGGCAATAGGGAAGGAGTAAATCCAGATACTGCAAATGGCATAAGTTAAATCAGGGAGCTGAAAGTACAGACTGTGTTCAAGAGTTTGTACAGCTGGACTCCAGTAGAAGTACACATAAAGGGTTAAAATGCTGAGAAAGGATGGGCATCAGTTTGAAACAGGGTCTGAATTCCAAGTACAGGGGTTACACTTTATTGAGTAATATAAGGAGTTGTTGGAGGGTTTAGAAAAGACGTAATACAATCAAAGCAGAGGTTTAGGAAAGTAATCAGACGTTGGCATGGCCAGATGGATGGGAGTGGTGACCTGGAATCAAGGAGTCCACTTAGGAGGCCAATCTTCAAAACAGATGTGAGAGAATGACAACCTGAACTAGGGTCACAGCCATGGAAATAGGAAAGCATAGGCCATTTTGGAGTCACTGCAGTAAAAGAATAAGTCCTAGTTCCTGATGGGATGTGAGGCTTGACATCACAAGCAGTAATCAGGGATGATTTGGAGCCTATGGGACTAAACAGATGGCAGTGCCAACAGAAAAAAATGGGAGAAGGAGCCGTTAGTAATTATTAACCAGTGGCCAAATATGCTTCACTGGAAATTCAGAGTACAGTAAGGGCTGCAAATAATAGATTGGGGATGGGGAAGTCATCCACAAAGAATTTTAATTGAGACCTTGGGAGAAGGACCGTGTAATCACGGAGAAGGCCCAGTTTGGTTGACGGTAAATAGCATGAGTTTGTAGATACTGAGATGGCGGTGTTTAGGGACTTATCGCAGCATGGTAAGTGTAGAAAGTAATTTTTTTTAAAATTTATTTTATTTATTTATTTTTGGCTGTGTTGGGTCTTCGTTGTGGTGCACGGGCTTCTCACTGCAGTGGCTTCTCTTGTTGCAGAGCACAGGCTCTAGGCGTGCGGGCTTCAGTAGTTGTGGCACGCAGGCTCAGTAGTTGTGGCTTGTGGGCTCTAGAGCACAGGCTCAGTAGTTGTGGCACACGGGCTTAGTTGCTCCGCAGCCTGTGGGGTCTTCCCGGACTAGGGCTCGGACTCATGTTCCCTGCATTGGCAGGCAGATTCTTAACCCCTGGGCCACCAGGGAAATCCCTAGAAAGTAATTCTTCCTATAATTAGGCTGGTGGAGAGATTCATAAAAGAAACACAACCTGGAAGTTTCCAGTAGATCTAAGACAGAAGAAAGTCGATCCTAGAATTGGAATAGGGATGAGGGCAAGTTATGCTGGGACATTTATTGCACAGGACTCAATAATGGTCGGTTACCAATGGCCAGATCTTTGACTCTTTACCACATATTTCCTAAGAATTTTGAAGGTTTTGGTTTGGAGCTCCCTCTGTGTAGATACATTGTGATGCAGAGGATTAGAAGGGATTAGACTTGGGTCTAATCTGCACCTTAACTAGCTGTAGGTTCCTGGATGAGTCAGTTGTCTTTTAACCCCTGATTCTTCAAATGTAATGGGGGGATAATAATACTCACCCTATTTATTTCATGAGGTTGTTGCCAGAATCCATGGTATTATTATAAAAATGGTAGTTTCGTTCTATGGGAAACTATTTGTTGGTTTTTACGTTTGTTTTCTTTGCTAAATGATCCAAAGACATAATCAGAATAGATTTCCAATCTTGCTTCTCTACGCTTACGTTTAGAGTTTCAAGTTATTTGTAGCTTTTTCAAAAAATATATATATATTTTGCTTTTCTGTGATTTCCTTCTGCTTTTCTAACCAAGTTTTATTTTTAAAATATCTGCTAGGTAATTTGCATTTCTGAAATTTGCTCTTAATGCCTGTTAATTTTTCCTTCAGTATTTAATTCTGCTTTCCTAAATACAGGTTTTCTATTTTTTAGAGTTCTCTGTTTGGTAAATTGTCATGTAATATGGTTTTTAGTATATTATTACATTTTATATATTTACATTTTCAATATATTACACTTAATGATTGCATACATTTCATATATTACATTAGAGTAATATACATTTAGCATATTACTGGAAAAAAACACTGTACTTCTTATCACTCATACTATAAAGTTTTATATATAGCCTATGTAATGATCGCAAACATTTTAAAACCAGTGATCTCTGGTTCTGGGATTGATAAATAAGGACAAAATAGGAAAAGAGTAGGGAAGAAACTAAATGCAAAATACACATTTATTTAGGGGTTGTGATTGAAAATAGCATGCAAATGCTGCCTATAATTTTTTTTAAAAAAGATAAGGAAGTACAAATACTTCACTTGAAAGTTGAAAAATCTGAAAGCTGAGTCCAAAGCTCAGTGGTTTAACACCAGCACTGAAAAGCTAAAACAGAGTCTGGCTTTCATGCTTCAGCAAGTACAGTAAGCTGTGCTGAGGCCAAATGAACTTCCCCAGAGGCTTTGTCAGGAATGTGGTGCCAGGATTTCTATCTTTCTTCTTCTGGCTGACAGTACTGAAGGAGATCTTACTGCTGCTATTTCCTCAGTTGGGAGAAGTGATTGCTAGAACCTGGCTAGGCAGTCAGGATACTGGCACTGATCTGTGGCTAGGAGGCTGTCATTTGTGGATGGCCTCTGATCAGCCTCTCCACCTGTCCCAGATATCTCTTTCATGCCACTCCATCAATCTCCACTTCTCCACTCTGAACACCGCCATTGTTCTTCAGACCCTCTCCCCTCACCACCTGTTTACAACCTCTTCGAAGCCTTGTTAGAGAAATTCAAGGCTACACAGATTGATAACACTCTTATCAGAAATGGAGATAATCTGTGCTGTGCTTGGGGGTATGAAAGCCACAGGGTATTCATTCATCCACTCTATGTTCAAGAAATATTTATCGAGTACAAGTGGCCCCCTCCAGCGCTCTGCAAACGTAGAGCATTCCAATGAAACCTGTCTTAAACCAAAACGGCTTAAAGCAAAGAAGCAATCACCTTAGGATACATCTTGCTAATGGGACGCATAAAATAAATCGAGGTAAAGCACAGATGCTCATAGACACAATTCAAAGTTATGGTGGCTTTATGCTGAGAGGCTAAGTGTAGTTCCGGGGAAGGAACTTGGCGGTGCCGCTCTCACTGCTGGCGGTGCACACTGCCTCTGTGGGCTCACTGCAGAACAAACCCTGAATGCGACGGTCTCTTTTTACCTTTTTTCATAAAAGCAGAAATCCTCTTTGGATTTCTTTCGTTTGTCGAAAACAGGTACTAAAGTAGGTCTTTTGTAAAAGCAAAGTGGTGTAAAGGGAACTTTGAAAAGCAGGGGACACCCCTATCTATTTTGTACCAGGCACTGTTCTAGGTGTTGGAATACAGCAGTGAAAAAGATAAACAAAAGCTCTATGTTCCTCATGGGGCTTACATTCTAATGGGAAGAGACACTCAGTAAACAGTAAGATCATTTCAGATTATGTAAAATGTTACTAGGGAGATCAGCAAGTGACTGATCACTGCATCTAGGAAACATTTGTCAAGTTATTTTAGGCTGTGTAAGTGAAGCATGCATTGTAAATCTATTACTCATTCTGTAGTCATATGAATTCAGCTACTAAAAATGAAAAGAAGGTAGAAAGCAGATATGCTATAATCTCTCTTTTTTCTTCTCTAGGCGGGTAACAGTTCATGTTTGCTTCATAAATGAAGCAGCTTTAAACAAATTCCTATTCTGTCTGGAGTGACAGACCGCATCTTTATCTGTTCTTGCTACCCATGACTATGTGGATGATTCAGAAATTGGAACAAAGTGTTTTACTGTGAAACTGGCACTGAATTAATCATCTATAAAGAAGAACTTGCACCGAGCAGGACTCTATTTTAAGGACCTGGGGGATCTGTGGTCTCAATTAGAACTTGCAGCTGATGTTGGGAGAGAAAGCACGTGTCCCAGACTGCACGTACCGTTTTGCATGCCTCCAGAAACGTCTAATTGTTGAAAAACCACATAGCTTTATTTCACAGTTACAACCTGCAGTTCATAGTTATCTTGGTCTCTGCAAGTAGACTTCAGCCTGGATAGTGGGGGGGGGGGGTGGGTCATCATTTTTATCAAAGGGATCTAGAAAAAATTCAAAAAACAAAAATTCCATAGCATCAGCCACTGTTCATTTAGAAAGCAGTGGGAAAAGAGGGTGGGGGTAGGGGCAGGTCAGCCTTATAGCTGCTGATCAGTGAATGATATGGGTCTGAGCTTGGTCTCTTTCTGACAGAGTGTGCTCAACCGTATCCCACTAGACAAATGGACATGGTTGTCTGACTTTAGTCATGCAGGGGAGCCAGTACTGAATTACACAACAGTGATGCCTTTGCAGAGGAGAGACTCCGAAAGAGTCATCACACGAAGAAGCTGTGGACACTGCCCAGCAGAACAGTCTGCCGAGGAGGGCATCTGGCACCCCTGGTGAAGTCAGCCTTTGCCCTTGACCACTATGGCGTGTACAAATTGTGCTTGCAAATTATCTTACAAAATGTTTATATTCTAAAACTATCACAGAGTTATGTAAAGGGACTTAGGAGAAATCACTGAATGTATGGAGGCCGCATTTTCAATTTCTGCTGTGGGAGAGAGTAAATATAAATTATGATATTTAGTATCTATGGTTAGATAACCACACACATGCTAATATGGGTGTTGAAAACTAGGTGACTTGGCTTTTACAAGAATGCAGGGGATCAGGAAACTTTAGTTATTTATAGTATAATCACCATTATCTGTTTAAAGGATCCATTTATTTAAAATCAGGCACTCTGTATTCATTAAGGTTTATGAATTAAAAATAAAAAGAAAGCTTTATGTAGTTACGCATGTCAGTTTGCTATTAAAATATGCGACAGCGTTTTTGTCATATTGAGTGAACTTGGCAGGAATTCCCAAGATGGACATTGCATTTTTAAACCAGAACTTGTAAGACATTAAGTGAATTTCCCTTGCCAATTTTTTTTTATTTCAAAGGAACATCTGACTAAGGTCAAAGAATGATTTCTTTTGGTTTATTTTGATGAAGGTTCTTTTAATATATCACAAACGTACACATACAGGAATCCAAAGCTTTCCGTTCTAACTTGATCCTTGTGATAACATCATTGCCATGTCTATCACCATCACATGACTGTTTTCAATGCAGTGATAGAGAAGGGCATGAAAAACTGCTATCTTTCCTTTGTTTTCAAAAGTCCAAGAATTTCTAGTAGAGCTGGATTTTAGCTTATGTTCAAAGCTAATTCAAATACAACTCTAGTAAGTGGCCCTTGCTCTTTTTTATACCAAAGAGCTCAGATGATTTCTACGATCCCTCCTCTAAAGTGCTGTGGTTCCTCAAACACTAGTCATGTCTCTAAGATACAACCCAGATGCTTTGGGAAGTTGCATTAATTTATTCAGTCCCTCAAATATCCCATGGTACAACCAATTATATATAATAAAACCAGAGATCAATTTAATGGCTGAAAGGACCTGTCTCAGTGTGTGATATTGATTGTTTTGAAGAAAATAGACATAGATTAACATGAGTATGTGTGTAGGTCATGTGTCGATTGAGAAGATTGATACTTCTCAAGCTAATAGTTTGTTTCAGCAATGGTTTCAGTTTTTGTAAGTATGTAAAAATGCTGCTTAATGAGCTTTAGAGTACAATAGATGTACTTTTGTTCTCAAAGCTGGTAGCTGGGTTTTAACACAGAAGGACATGGTCCTAATTGATAGGGTTAAATAAACAAATTCAGCAAGTTATGAAATCTGGCATGGTAGGCGAGGGGAGATGTATTCTGCCTAATCAAATGTATTGGTTCATTGAGAGCTGTGTGGATTACCAATTTTTGAAACACTAAAATTCAGTAAAATACACGAACAATAGAAAAATGTTGAACATTACTTTGGTTGGTAGTTGCTTGGGAATGAACTGTCATACCTACTTGGAGATTAAAAAATATATATACATATATGTCTTTGCTTTATTTTACCCAATATGGGTTCTCAACATCCTTTATAAATCATGGAAAACTCACAACTGACATCTTAAACTGTGAAATCACCTTTTAAATTGGTGCCACGTATCTGATAGTTCTCTTTTGTAAAGTTTCAAAATTGTCTTTTAAAATGGTTTCAGAAGTCTGCAGATTCTAAATTATACTTTAGTGTAAAGTATAATTCAGCTTTGTACCTCTGTGGTAGAACCCAAATCTATAGAGAAACTGGCACTGATAAACGGTGCCTGCCCTGTGATATCAAAGCGTTGCTTGATTTTGTATTATAATCTGATGTGCTTACCACACAGCCACTTTCTGATGAATCAGAAACAAGTTATTTTTTTCAATACTTTAACAGAACAAGTACCCTATTCTCTTTGAAAAGGATTAACTATGTGAAAAATGACAATGTATGATAAAGTATGTTCACAATGAAAGATCTGCTTTTAGTAAGAATTAAAGTACTCTGGAGAAACTTTGTGGCATATTTTGGTATTCTAATTCAAATGAAGTTTTAAATTAATAGAAAACTCCACGCAGAATTCATGGATATTTCTTAATGTTTTTCTGAAGCTAGGTTCTGGTTTCAAAATGTAATCCCAGTATGGGGCTTTTAGCCATTCCCAACCTATTCTAATTTAACTAAGAAATATATTTTTCAAGAAGGCAGTTGGACATAGTGGGATGGATGTTAGGAAAAATTGTCAGGAGCTTCCACTCTGCCATTAACAGGTATTGGTAAATCACTGCCCTTCTTTGGCTCTCAATTTTTATTTATCTATATGGTGAAGTCAAGTCATACCATAGGTATGAGAGAAACCTATTGATATGTGACTGACAAAGATGATAAAATAGAGCTGAAACTATCGCATATAAAATATCCAACTCTGATCTCTGTGAATAAGCAATTTGAACATAAAAAGCTATGGCTGTTCTTGTTTGTAATGTAAATAGGGTCCATTCGTAAAAGTGAAAATCAGTCTCCTGTAGGGTGAGTCGGATAACCACTTACACAAGAGATGGCTTTTTCCGTTGCTTAAATAAACATTTTTGGATCACCTCTGAAGAATGAAAACCAAGAGTACATTTTACCCAGGAAAAGATGAGATCTGTGTAACATTTGGAAGTGTACCAAATCAAGCATTTAAATGCTCTCATTTTCTTAAAAGCTAAGAGCAGAAACTGTAAGATGCTCATAAAGTTTTTAAGTGCAAAAAGATACTTTCGAATCCATTTGGAGATGAGTAAACCATAAATTGTATTTCAGGATTGGAAAGTGGGATAAGAATTTTAGAGAAAGCCAGCTTGTTTTGAAACAGTATTATTCTGAAATTGGCATTAAAATATAAACATTCAGATTGAAATCCCAACCAGTTCATTTGTGGTGTTTGATCACACAGTTTATGGTGTTGCTGGAAATGCCTTTGTAAAGATAAAATAATGGTACTTTCATTTCCGAACAAGATACTGTTTTAGAAATAATCCATATTAAAATGGATATTCTTGATCCTAAAATGTTTCCTAAGCATCGTACATGTATTTATAACCGCCGTCTCCAATTACATCTTATGTTGTTTTTTAAAATAAAATTGTTTAAACTAAAAAACATAGTATTTTCAGTGAGCTATGACTCACTAAATAAAAATTTCCAATCAAAATACCCTATTCTCCTATATTCTAAGGATTAATGTGTGATTATAGTGTCCACTTGCCACTATTTTTTAAATCAATGGACTTAAAGTATTCAGACATTTAGATGGATGCACAGATATATTGCTAGTTCAGTCATAGATTGGAGTTTGCATATTGTAATGTAAATGTATGTCAACATTATTCTATAGTTTTATTATGACTGAAGTTAAATAAAAAAGGTTGTAAAATGTGATGTGTATGTACTGTATGTGTACTTTTAAAAATAGGTTTATGTCCTGACCCTTTTTTATACAGGTTTGAATTTGAAATTACATTATATATACACATACTTTATTGTTCTAAATAAAGAATTTTATGCACTCAAATTTGCCCTGTCATTATCTTAAAGTTATCACACATGTTCATAACATGGTTGAGCATTTAAGGTAAACTCAAAGTTTTCTATGGAAAACATCATTAATCTAGATTTTATTGTAATATGCACAAAAGGAGATAAATCATTTTATTCCAATAAATATGTATTGGTTAAGTAATCAAGGAAGATAGGTAAAGTAATCAAAGAAGGTAAAATTGAATTAATACACTGTTGGATCTCAAGGGGTTTCTAACTTAGTTGGGGAGAAGATAGGAAAACCACTGTCAACTGCATAAAGACACAGTGAAGTAATTACCTAAGTGCAAAACTGCGGTCTAGTTAATGTACTTGGGGCACACAGGAAGAAGAAATGGATAGACTAGGGATGATCATGGGGGAGTTGGTGTTTGGGCTAAGATTTACAAGGATGAGAAATTTTGATAAAGAAGGATAATTATGCCCAGCCTGAGCAGTGTTTTCCAAAGCAAGAAGTTTTAAAATTTCTCAATTTATCCCATCAAGTCCAATCCTGAGCATACAGTGTGTAAAGGGATACACAGTGAGATGAGACCAGAGCCTTGAATGCCACAGGAGGGCAGATTCTTCTTAGGGGCCATGCGAAGCCATTGCGTGTTTCTGAGAAGAGGGATGGAATGGCAAGATCATACACCATTATGGCTTATGTGGTTTAGGCAATACGTAATCATCCTGCCTAACCCCTGGTTGGTATTGGACTCCTGAGACCACATCCTCTAGATTCATGACATCACACTTATTCACCCACCATTTCTTTTTAGTTTCTTTGCTGATTTTTCCTCCTCTGCTCACGCTTTATATTACAAACTTCCATCAATATAAGCCTAGACGATAATAGCCTTGTAACTGATCGCACTCCTCCACTATTTAGCCCTTTTTCAATCAGTTCCTCATGTTAGAGTGAATAATATGGAGACAACTGATAATACTTTTCTCTGATTAAAACACTGAAATGGCTTCTCATTATTTTTCAGGACCAAACCCAAACTCAGCATGGTTTATGAGGCCCTCCTCGACACATCTTATAATTTTTTTTGGGGGGGGGGGGGGCAGGGGGTTGCTAATTGTTTGTTTTCCCCTTTAAGTTATAAACACATGAGGACTAGGACCGTGAAGACTTATATCATTGCATTCCCCAAATTTAATGCAATAATAAAGCATGGAATTGAAACAAAATTGGATCTGAATAGATATTACCTATTGCAATGTTCAATAAGTTAAAAGTTATTTTCTAAAACTTTTTATCATGGACAATTTGAAATATATGCAAAAGTAGAGTAGTGTAATGAACTTCCATGTAACCATAACCTAGCTTCAATCTTACTTAAGTGCTGAATGATCTTATTTTATCTAAGTCACCTATTACACCCCTTACCCACCACCCCTTTCATATTATTTTTAGGCTAATACCTACAAATATTTGACCTGTAAATATTTATATGTGTATCTCTAAATCATAAATTTTAGAACATAATACCTTTGTCACACCTAAGAAAAATTAAAAATTATTCCTTAATATCAAAGACCCAATAAGTATTCATATTTTATCTCACATCATCATGCATTGCAATATTGTACTACAGCAGAGTATAAAATAAAGGTAGAATTCTCCCTCCAACATTAAAGTTCTTTCCTCCACAGGAAAACAGGTATTTCTTGTTAACCCTCAGAAAAACTATGTGTACATACGTATTTATGTAATACTATTCTCTAACCTTACTTTTCCCATTTATTAGAAGAACGTGTAACACTCTGCATCAGCCCAGATGAACCTTTATCCACTACCATAGCCAGGAAATTATAGATGGACATTGCAATTGTACTATAATGTGTGCTTTCTGGAATTCCAGTCCATACTGAGCAAAATCCAATGTACTTTTAGAACTTTTCCTTCAAAATGAAAATGAGGCTCTCTTTTGAGGATATATCTGCCTCTTCAGCCCTCTCATTTGGTGGCTGTGTTTCCTCCATAACTGTCACTGGGTCTGGCAGTGGGTTCTCTGGTCCTCATTGCTGCTTCTGGGTCATGACTCCTTAATCCCTCCCAGATTTGAATCTCATGTTATCAGGTTACATACCCACTGCTATTCACTGTTGCTTTCATGTACTAACTCTCAGGTTCTTCTCCTTCATTTCTTGATGGTATGAGCACCTACTTCACTGTCACGCATCTGTACTCCTGTCTTATTTCTTGTGATTTTGATACACATATAAATGATCCTTTCGGCTGCGGCTGCTGCTTCTTCCTTATCCCCCTCCTCCTCCTTTTCCTCCTTTGGAGACTTTTATGAATCCAGCTTTTCTATATTCTAATGAGTAAGGTTTATTTTAAGAACATCATTAGAGATCCTAGAGGGGAAGATGGTGGAAGAGTAAGACGTGGAGATCACCTTCCTCCCCACAGATACACCAGAAATACATCTACACGTGGAACAACTCCTACAGAACACCTACTGAACACTGGCAGAAGACCTCAGACCTCCCAAAAGGCAAGAAACTCCCCCACGTACCTGGGTAGGGCAAAAGAAAAAAAGAAAAAACAGAGACAAAAGGATAGGGACGGGACCTGCACCAGTGGGAGGGAGCTCTGGAGGAGAAAAGGTTTCCACACACTAGGAAGGCCCTTCACTGGCAGAGACGGGGGTGGCGGAGGGGGAAAGCTTCGGAGCCACAGAGGAGAGCGCAGCAACAGGGGTGCGGAGGGCAAAGCGGAGAGATTCCCGCACAGAGGATCGGTGCCGACCGGCACTCACCAGGCCGGGAGGCTTGTCTGCTCACCCTATGGGGCGGGTGGGGCTGGGGGATGAGGCTCCGGCTTCCGGAGCGCAGGGAGACGACTGCGGTTGGCGGCGTGAACACAGCCTGCAGGGGGTTAGTGCACCACAGCTAGCCGGGAGGGAGTCTGGGGGAAATTCTGTACCTGCTGAAGAGGCAAGAGACTTTTTCTTCCCTCTTTGTTTCCTGGTGCGCGAGGAGAGGGGATTAAGAGCACTGCTTAAAGGAGCTCCAGAGACGGGCGCGAGCCGCGGCTAAAAGCGCGGACCCCAGAGACGGGCATGAGATGCTAAGGCTGCTGCTGCTGCCACCAAGAAGCCTGTGTGCAAGCACAGGTCACTATCCACACCCCCATTCCTGTGCAGCCACCACTGCCAGGGTCCCGGGATCCAGGGACAACGTCCCCGGGAGAACACACGGCGCGCCTCAGGCTAGTGCAACGTCACGCCGGCGTCTGACGCCGCAGGCTCGCCCCGCACTCCATACCCCTCCCTCCCCCCAGCCTGAGTGTGCCAGAGCCCCCGAAGCAGCTGCTCCTTTAACCCCGTCCTGTCTGAGCAAAGAACAGATGCCCTCAGGCGACCTACATGCAGAGGCAGGGCCAAATCCAAAGCTGAGCCCCAGGAGCTGTGAGAACAAAGAAGAGAAAGGGAAATCCCTCCCAGCAGCCTCGGAAGCAGCGGATTAAAGCTCCACAATCAACTTGATGTACCCTGCATCTGTGGAATACATGAATAGACAACCAATCATCCCAAATTAAGGAGGTGGACTTTGAGAGCAAGATTTATGATTTTTTCCCCTTTTCCTCTTTTTGTGAGTGTGTATGTGTATGCTTCTCTGTGAGATTTTGTCAGTATAGCTTTGCTTTCACCATTTGTCCTAGGGTTCTATCCATCTATTTTTCTTTTTTTTTTTTTTCCGGTACGCGGGCCTCTCACTGTTGTGGCCTCTCCCGTTGCGGAGCACAGGCTCCGGACGCGCAGGCTCAGCGGCCATGGCTCACGGACCTAGCCGCTCCGTGGCATGTGGGATCTTCCTGCACTGGGGCACGAACCCATGTCCCCTGCATCGGCAGGCGGACTCTCAACCACTGCGCCACCAGGGATGCCCCCATCCGTTTTTTTGTTTTGTTTTTTTCTTAAAAAAATTTTTTTTTCTTAATTATTTTTTATTTTAATAACTTTATTTTATTTTTTCTTACTTTATTTTATTTTATCTTGTTCCTTTCCTTCCTTCCCTCCTTTCTTCCTCCCTCCCTCCTTTCTTTCTCTCTCTCTTTATATCTTTTCTTTTCTTTTCTTTCTTTCTTTCTACTTTTTCTCCCTTTTATTCTGAGCCGTGTGGATGAAAGGCTCTTGGTGCTGCAGCCAGGAGTCAGTGCTGTGCCTCTGAGATGGGAGAGCCAACTTCAGGACACTGGTCCACAAGAGACCTCCCAGCTCCACGTAATATCAAATGGCGAAAATCTCCCAGAGATCTCCATCTCAACACCAACACCCAGCTTCACTCAACGACCAGCAAGCTACAGTGCTAGACACCCTATGCCAAACAACTAGCAAGACAGGAACACAATCCCACCCATTAGCAGAGAGGCTGCCTAAAATAATAGTAAGTCCACAGACACCCCAAAACACACCACCAGACGTGGACCTGCCCACCAGAAAGACAAGATCCAGCCTCAGCCACCAGAACATGGGCACTAGTCCCCTCCACCAGGAAGCCTACACAACCCACTGAACCAACTTTAGCCACTGGGGACAGACACCAAAAACAACGGGAACTATGAACCTGCAGCCTGCAAAAAGGAGACCCCAAACACAGTAAGATAAGCAAAATGAGAAGACAGAAAAACACACAGCAGATGAAGGAGCAAGATAAAAACCCACCAGACCTAACAAATGAAGAAGAAATAGGCAGTCTACCTGAAAAAGAATTCTGAATAATGATAGTAAAGATGATCCAAAATCTTGGAAATAGAATAGACAAAATGCAAGAAACATTTAACAAGGACCTAGAAGAACTGAAGATGAAACAAGCAATGATGAACAACACAATAAATGAAATTAAAAATACTCTAGATGGGATCAATAGCAGAATAACTGAGGCAGAAGAATGGATAAGTGACCTGGAAGATAAAATAGTGGAAATAACTACTGCAGAGCAGAATAAAGAAAAAAGAATGAAAAGAATTGAGGACAG